TGGACGAGTCGACCACGAGCTTCCTGTATCGCATTTGCAGCGCGGCGCCCCTGCGGCAGCCCGTAGGTAGGGCTGCGGTTCGCTCTTGCAGGCCACAGACGGCCAAGTCCTGCGGCGTCTCGCCTCGTCTCCCGCGTCCCCCTGGTGTCCTCCTCCTCCTCCTGGTCCTTCTCCTCCTCCTCCCCTCCCCTCTCCTCCTCCTCCTCCTCCTCCTCCTCCTCCTCCTCCTCCTCGAGAAGACGGCCGAGATGCTCGGGGGCGGGGCGCGGGGAGGCCGCGTACGTCGGCTCCGACGCGGTGCTCTTCATCGCCAAGACCGCGCTGAGGTGCGGAGCAACAGAGCGGTTGATAGACAGAATCCTGCACCGCGAGGGCCCCCTCCTCCTCCTCCTCTTCCTCCTCCAGGGTGCAGACGCGAACTCCAACGCGCTTCCCTGCCACCGATTCAATGTCGGTTGGCATCGCCGGCGGGGTGCAGGATCTTGGCCAGTCGGCACATCGACACATCGCGGCGCAGCCTGCCAATACTAAATACTAAATTTTGGGGCGCGGGGGGTGTTCCCAAAAATCAGACAAAAAGGGTGCAGGATTTTGTCCAGCAACAGAAGCGACACGTACCCCGCCCCACTGGTCAGGGGCCAGGAGGTGGGAAGTGTCCACCACCGGGCTCGCACGGGCGTGGTCTGGGCCCCGATCTGGGTGGCGATGGGTGCTCTCCCTCCCGCCCGCCCCCTCCCTGGCAGGACGAGGGGGGGGGACGGGGAGGACGTGCTCTCGCGCGGCATCTCGAAGCTCAGAGCTGCGAGGATGTCTCAGGCGCAGCGGGCTGGACCACCCCGCGCGCGGCACCTCGGAGCCCAGAGTTGTGAGGAGGTCTCAGGCGACGCGCGCCGGGCGACCTCGCGCGCGTCATCCCGGAGCCCAGACTTGAAAGGCTGTCCCAGGCGAGACGGACCAGACCACCTCTCGCGCGGCAGGTCGAAGCCCAGAGCAACACCCTCCTGGCCCGCGCGGGCTCCCCTTCCCGTTCTCTTCCTCGCCATTCGGGCCTCCTCGCCCGCGTTGCCCGCGGGGATGCTGCGCAGTTCGCCGTCGAGCGCATCGGTGGGGTTGGAGGAGGGCGGGCCTGGGCACGGTGGGTCTTTATCCCAACGAGGGGCCCCCTTCGCTGGCTCGGGGTGGCTGGCGGCGCCCTTCCTCGACGGCTCCGCGACCCGGCGTACAGGCGAGCGCCCTTTTTTTTCGTGCGCCGTGCCGCTCGGAGCGCGGCGGGCGGGAGCAGGAGGAGGGGGGGGAGGAGGACAAGAACGAGGGAGGGGGACGTGGATAATGCTGGGGTCGAGAGCGAGAGCGAGGATATCGAGCCGGACTGATCACAGGGCGACGCGATGAAGCCGCCGAAAGAAGCGGTCACGGGGGGTAGGATGACGAGACGAGCTTGGTGAGGATGAGGAGGAGCAGGGGGAAGAGGAGTTCGAGAAGGTAAAGGGATGCCATAACAGGATTGCAGCCGTTTGGTCGCCCGTCTTGGCTCCCTGCCGCGGTGTCTCAGTGCTCGCCATGCCGCCGTGACGTGGTGTAGAGGTGCGAGTTCTTTTGCGTGGTGTTACCCTCCCTCCTACTACGCCTCCTCCTGCTGCTGATCCTCCCCGTTGTCAGAGATCGGGCGCCCCTCCACCTGCTTCTGCTACCCATGCTCTCCTCGCCCGTCTCCAGCTTCCCTCTCTTCCCCCGCCCAGCTCGGCTGGGGACCGTCGCGTTCCCCGCCCCTCGCCCCGCACAGAGCTGTCGACGTCCAGAGTTCGTTCGCGCGCACAGGTGTGCGAATTCTCTTCGGATGATCTCTGTGTGTGCAGCATACGGTACCTCATGTTCGCCTCCCCCCCCCCCCTCCACAATCATTTGGTCTTCGCGGGCGGGTGGGTGGGTCAGTTTGGTGCGCGTGACCCCACTTGTGAGGCATGTCCGCCCCGTGAAGAAGGGCCGAGCCCGCGAGGGCGTTCCAGGCGTGGCTCGGCAGGTCTCCGTCTTCGGTCTCGCCGGGCCGAGCGCCTGGAGCAGCCAGCGGCGGAAGACGCGCTGCATGGCCGACCGTGACCACGGTTCGGACAAGAACCTCCTCCTCCTCCTCCTCCTCCTCCTCCTCCTCCCTCCTCCCTCCTCCCTCCTCCCTCCTCCCTCCTCCCTCCTCCCTCCTCCCTCCTCCCTCCTCCCTCCTCCCTCCTCCTCCCTCCTCCCTCCTCCGTCTTCATCAGTACTACGTCGCCCATCTCGAGGTGGATGAGGCGAGTCGAAGGGGCAGACGGGGCGGAGAGGGCGGTGCCGCTAAACATGATCCAAGTGGATATGCGTCATTCCGCCGGACCGCAGAGAAGGCAGAGAGTGCGGAATAATGGCCCTGCATCTCGGTTCTCTTGGGGCCTTGCCGGCTCTGTTGTGGCCTTCGGAATCAGGCGGTTTCTGTCGGCTGGTTCCCTTGGCCTGGAAGGCACGATGTCAAGTTCGTCGCCCGTTTCTTGAACAGGATTCGAGGCTCCGGGAGAGTAGAGATCAATGGGGAAGGCTTGGGCCGAGCATGCCGCGCGCGGTCTTACCCTTGCAAATGCGGGTAGGCGGTCTCCGCGTCTATGCCTGTGGGAGTCTGCGGGCAAGGCTTAGAGAAGGCTGTGGGGGACGGGGCGGAGAGGGTGGTGTTGCTAAATATGATTCACTTTTCTGTGTTGCCACTGGGGAGGAGGAGGGTGCGACCACGAGATCTCGACGCATCGCGACAACCTCATCCCTGCGAGTAAGGCAAGGTGGGCACGCCACTCAAGCTGCCACTACACAAGCGCTGACCTCTCAACGAAAAAAAAGTCCCTGCAGCTTCGTATCGTCCCGCCGACAGCGCTGGTTCGGGAAGGCTCCCGACTGCCGCGTGTGGGACGACAACTTCGACACCCGATTCTTGTCGGACGAGGCCGCCGCTTGGGCAATTCAGAGTTGGCTCTCCTACATCCTTGCTCCTCCTCCTGCTGTTGCTCCGCCTCCTTTTCTCCTCTTTCTCCGCCTCCTCTTCCTCCTCGTCCTCCTCCTCCTCCTCCTGCTCCTCCTCCTCGGGCGACTTTCCTCCCCCTCCCCCTCCCCCTCCCCCAAATGGCGGGCCTCTCCTCCTCATAGGTGACTCTCCTCCCCCTCCCCCTCCCCCTCCCCCGCATGGCGCGTCTCAGAAATGGCGTCGCCTGGAGTGCATCCTCGCCCTCGGCGGAAGTCAGCGGAATGCTGGCAGAAGTCGGCGGGAGTACAGCGGCGGTGGGCCCGCCAGCGGAAGGAAATATGTTGGCGGATGGCGCTGGAGGCACGTCGAAACGTCGAAATGCTAGTGTTCAGGATTACGGTGGGGGCGTTACTGAAGGAATGTGCCCAGGAGGCTTCAGACCCTGGGGGGTTCCTTGTCTGATGAGGGCGGCAGTGATAGCCGTGGCCAATCCACGCCTGGAGTTCCAGCGCTTGAGGGAGTGCAGGCCTCGCACGGCTTCGCCTCCGCCGAGGAGGCACGCGATCGCGGCCGCCGTGCGGTGGCAGAGCGGGCGGCGAGGGCTGCCCAGCGACGGGAGGAGGGCCCCCAGCCCACCGGGCTGTGTGGTGGCCGAGGCTCTTGGCTTCCCTGGGGTCCCTCCTGGCCGTCGTACGCGGTGCGGCACCGTGGGTGGACCTCTTGAATTCACCCGTGCCAGCAAGCCCTCGGGCTTGAGGTGAGAAACAAATGCCCTCACCGTATGGGAGCGGGCCAGGTGGAACCTACAATACAGACGATCAATTTGCCCCCTCCTCCTCCTCCTTCTCGCCCAACGTCTTCTCCTCCTCTCCCCCATCTCCCTCGGTCTCCCCCGAGGACCATCCGCAGAATCAGGAACACTTCGAAACCACCTTTCTCCTTTGCCACGAATGCCCGGAGTCCTTTTACTACACTGACGAACTCAATGATGTGATTGTGATGACAACGGTACTGTGCATGCCAATCTGTGCACAATTCTTCTGAACGTCGCAACACGATGGTACGTGACGCAACTGTTGCCTCGCCAGCCGCTTTGCAAAGACAGGTGCAGGCTCTCTCGCTTCAGCACATTGCTGCCCTCCATTGCTCGAGGACACCTCGGTATTTCTTCTCCAATGAGGTTGTGCCCAAGGGATTGTAACCTTTCTCTTTGCAGGAGGGCCAATGCGACATGTGTCATTCCCGCTGGGACCTCGGGGGTTCCTGGGGGAGTCCACGAGGTTCCCGGGTGGTTCCCCGATGTTCCGTACGAGGCTCGCATTCGTTTCCACAGGGTTCCTAATCGGGCTCCATTGCATAGCGTTGCCTTAGATTCCTTAAGGGTTCCGTATGGGTTTCTTAGGGCTTCCTTAGGGTTCCCTGATGGGTTTATTTGGGGCTTTCTCTGGGGTTCATTCGGGCTCTTGCGGGTTTCATTGCCTTGCATTTCTGTTCGGTGCTTGGCATTGCTTTCCAATGCTTCTCATCGTGCTGGTTTGCGCTGCTTTGCGCTGTGTGTTTTTCCCTGCGTTGCTTTGATTTCCGTTGCACTGCGTTAGCTTGCTTGTGGTTTGCATGTATTTGCATATTTTTGCTTTGTATTCGTTTGCCTTGTATTGAGAGCTGGCTTGCTTTGCATTGCTTTGGTTTTCTTCTCGCTTCACGGATGTTATTTTTTCGTATTACGTCCTGTCGGTTTTGATGCCAACACACATATATACATGTATATATACAGGTTTTTGCTTGCAGGGTTCTTCCTTGCTTCGTATTGCGTTGCATTGGTTCGCACACCTGTGTGCTGTTTTGCATTCGTTGTTCTTACATTGCCAGGTTTCCCGCTGCTACTTTTTTATACACATGGCTTTGCCGCGCATTGCGTTGTCGGCTTCCTATTGCTTCGCATGGCATGGTTTTGCATACCGTTCGTTGCTCTGCATTGATTTGCTTGAGTTTGCGTTGAGCTGCTTTACTCCGTCATGCGTTC